AAATGAATCTGTTCTTTTTTTCTTATAAAAGGCTAAATAAAACAAAAATAATGGTGGTAATTTTTGACTGTGTAACTTTTTAAATGGCACCCCATACACAATGATTACAATTACAATTGTATTACAATTGTAATTGTAATTAATTACAATTGTAATTACAATGATTTATTTTACAATGACATTAAGAGAAAAAAAATCAAAATTCATACATAGCACAAATATGTTAGTGGGTAACATATTTCTGTACAACATTAAATAAATTGATACAAACCTAACAATTTCCAGTGTCTCACTGTCATGGTAAGCTTGGTTGAAAACTCCATTGTTGCTGTAACTTGTCATGAGATCCTTTAAAATTTATCCTTATTTCAATCAAAAATGAATGAACGCTGGAAAAAGAAAGTAAAATAAATAAACAAGAACATATCACATTTAGTGTTGTTCTTACAAGTACAGATCCTTCTGATTTGTCCTTGTTCAGGGTTCGTACAACTTAAAAACACTGCATCACAAGTAGAGTGACAGCTACATTGTTGGAGGGAAGCAAATGTAATTTAATCTCTTTCTCTGTCAAGAATCTGTTCATCATTAATTCATTCAGGAGGCTTAGTTTCTGCCACGAGCAAAAGCAAACACAAGTCTGTGGTTCTCATAAGTTCAGACTGTTCAAGTACAGAGAAAATATAAACGACGTTCACAGAACTATTATATTCTTCAACACATTTTCTTAACATGCTTCTTCTTTAAATCTATAATCTTTCTATAAATAAAACATGCAACTACACTATTCTGTTTGGTATTAAAGAAACTGTTTACCTTAATGAGATGCAGTGGATTATAAGGATAGATGTCTGTCCAAGCGGGACACACACCTGTGAAATGGTGTGTTATCTGTCAGAGAGGAAAAAAGCAAAGAACTCTCTAGCCACCAGGAAGTTAAGCTGAGAGCAAAGGGGTAAAAGTCCACTGCTGATCAAGCCATGCGTTGACATTTCCTGTTGTGAAATTAGATTATTTTTTATCAGGTATCAAGGTGAATGTGGAAAGTTTATGATGCATCCTGACTAACTTCCAGTAAATCAGTGGAAAATTACATTTTTTTCCTCAAAGCAGCTCAAAACTAACTAACCATACCTGAACATTTGCTAATGAAATTTATTTTTAATCTCAGATTGTTGAGATATTATACACTTTGTCACTTCATATACACAATGGACGTTTTAATAATCTTTTTAACTAACTGACCTAATGGTCAGCATGTCAGTCCAAACGTTTACTCAACTCCTGCAGACTGATACATTTGCAGCTTCAGCACCATCGACTTAAACACAATCAGCACACACATTTGCAAAGTAACATTTTATAGAGAAAACATCCACAAAGTAATTAAATGGCAACATACAAAAATGTTAATGTTTCTTATTAGTGAATAAAGGATTTCTTCTCACTGGAATGTTAATTTTATGAAAAAAAAAAGTTATTTTAAAGATGTCCAATAAGAAACACTTGTTTCAAAAGCCAAAAGTCTAGCCTGGATGAAAACTTTTGCCTTTTATTCTCCATACCTCTAATATGGAAGATGATTGGGGGCACAAACCAAAATAATAATAATAATAATAATAATAATAAT